GCTCAAGTGGTAGAGCGCTAGCCTTGAGCTGAAGAGCTGAGGGACAGCGCCCAGGCCCAGAGTTCAGGCCCCATGACCGGACCCAAAAAAAAAAACAACAAAATTACCAGCAAAAAAGCACCAGTGATGAGCAGGCCAGCTGCATGAGAACTTGATGCTCCCGAGTTCAAGTCCCAGTACTGGCACAATCAGCAACAGCAAAACCACAAGGGATACAATGAAGGAACAGGGAGAGATCCAGAGTCAAGGATGGGTTCATATACGAGGATTTAAATTAAAAGTATCTTCTGGGGCTGGGAATGTGGTTCAGTGGTAGAGTGCTTGCTTAGGATGCATGAAGCCCTGGGCTCGATTCTTTTGTACCACATACACAGAAAAAGCCAGAAGTGGTGCTGTGACTCAAGTGGTAGAGCTCTAGCCTTCAGCTGAAGAGCTCAGGGACAGTGCCTAGGCCCTGAGTTCAAGCCCCAGGACTACCCCCCCCTCAAAAAAAAAGCATCTTCTTGGACTGATGGAAATATTAATTTTTCTTTTTGTTGGTAGTGGGGCCTGAACTCTGGGCCTGGGCGCTGTCCCTGAGCTCTTCAGCTCAAGGCAAGTGCGCTACCACTTGTGCCACAGCGCCACTTCAGTCTTCTGGTGGTTAACTGGAGATAAAAGTCTCACAGACGTCTCTTGCCTGGCCTGACTTTGAACTGCGAACCTCAGATCTCAGCCTCCTGAGTAGCTAGGATTACAGGTGTGAGCCACTGGTGCTTGGCAAAAAAATATTTTGTTTTTGGCCAGTTCTGGGGTTTGAACTCGGGGCCTGGGCACTGTCCCTAAACTTCTTTTGCTCAAGGTTAGCAATCCACCACATGAGCCACAGCGCCACTTCTGGCCTTTTCTGTTTATGTGGTACTGAGTAATCAAACCCAGGGCTTCTGCATGCTAGGCAAGCAGTTGCCACTAAGCCACATTCCCAGCCCAGAGGCTTCTCATCCCCCCCCCCCCCCCCCCCCCCCCCCCACAAAATATTTTTCTAAGGGAAAGAGGCAAGAAGAATCTGAGCTCACAACCAGTCTTGGGCTACATATTGCAAAATAAACAAAATGTCTCAAAATAAAACAATATCAGTTATGATTACTATTTCATAAAACAGATAAAATGATGAAAAGCAAGTGAAAATAAAATGTAGCTAATCTAGAGTAGTTGACAATTAGCAAAATCACTCACATAGCCACTAACTTTTTATGGCTAAGCCATTCTCTTGTTAAAAAGACAAACCTCTCTTCAACCTTAAGACCCAAAAGCTCCACATTATTAACAGAGAAGAAAGTTTTTTGTTGATACGCTCTCTAAAGTATAATTAAAAGAACCGTAGTTGTGAGAACCCTGGAAAAATAACCCATGATGTAATGTTCTTACCAAAAAGTGGCACGGTGAGAAGTGATTCCATGTGACTCTCTCGATCTGCCCGCTGAATCGCCACATTCGGTGGCTTTCATCCGGACTCCGGCAGTCATACAGTGCCACTGACCTGGACACAGTCAGGCCAAGTTAGGCTTTGAAGAGTTCAAGTCTTCCTATGTTTTTATTTTTAATGAAATGGTAACAGAAGCACTGTGAAGTCAAGGTTCAGTTATTCAGAGCTGGTTTTAAGGTTCTATAATGTTTTTAAGATAGGAAAAATTGAGTTCCCTTTTACTAGTTGGTAGATTCTGGGCCTGTCGCTCAATTGAAGGCACTGGGAACACTCACGGTGGCTTGACTTTGCACATCCAAGATGAACCCTCTATTTCCACCTGATTCATGTCTTTGCCACAACTCTCCACAACGAGGCTATTGTGCTTGGGGGAGGGGGAGAGGGTCCTAAGGGAAATGCCTGTAATTCTGCTCCCATCATCCTGACAGATGATAAACTTCCATTTTTTTCAAAGGGTAAGGACCCGGTCTTTACTGCTCTCTGATCCTACCAGCCATCTTTCCCACTTTCACTCCAGTTCCTCACGGAGGTGTGCACATGACAGGGGTCAGCCCCTGGGAGGCCTCAATTCTTTACCCCTCCTTAAATATAGGCCTTCTGTCATCATGTGATATGGGAATTCTTCCCATAAGGGTAGAGAGTCTATTTTCCAATCCATGTGACCTGTTTTGGCCAAAAAATCCCCAAACCATAAATAAAAACAGAAAAAGTAAAATCACACCAACCCCCAAAACAGTAGCAGCAGCAACAACAACAACAAAAAAGCCCAAACCACACCAAGATAAAACTAATTCGGAGCCTAGATCTCCAGAGGTCGTGGTATCTCTGCTTTGCTCCTGAACATGCTGTTCGTTCAGCCTGTGTTTGCAGACAAACAAGTCTTCTGGCCCAGGCTAACCAAGCCAATGTGATCAGAGCTGCCAGCTGAATTCAGCCTACATCAGAGAGATGTCACAAGGGTCTAAGGAATCACTGTCTACTAAGTTAAGTAATGATTTCTAGGATGGCTGTTTCACAAAAAAGGTGAACTCACATATCTTCTAAACTCAATGCAGTTGCTAGATCCCATAGCTAGACATTGTGGTGACAGATCCAGATCTTTACAGACCAAAAGGACCAGAGCTGCAAAGGAAAACTAAGTTGTGCTAACAATTCACACATGTCTTCGGTTGGGACTGCAAGTGATAGTGTTCCAATTCAAGAGGATCAGGACAGAGCAGCAGTGACTTGTGTGCTTCCTTACTTATCATAGGATCCAGAAATCAATGTCTGTGCTTCGAATGGATGAAACTGCAGAGTCTGGACCTAAGGGGGAGAGATCTCCATTTGCTTTTAGTAACATTACCTATTATTAGGCGAAAACAGATTTCACAGTGTTAATAAAAATTGTTCCCTTCCTATAAAGTATTGTCTGTGTTAAGAAATGTAAAACGTTGCATATTCAAAAGGCAAAACATGTTCCAAAATAAAAGCTGACATCGACAATAATGCACCAAACACCTCAAATGTTAAAAGAAGTCCAGAAGAAATGCGGTGTGGTTAAAGGGCCTTGGTAAACTGCAAGCGCATGCTTGTACCAGGGAGCCCACAGCCATGGTCACAGATCGGCTGCTGGGTCTGACAGCCTGTCTTCTTGGGGCCCTCATGTTGTAGGAAACTAATTTTCCACTCATTGTCCCTCCCAGCACCGAATGGGGTTTTATGGAGACTGGGCTTTATGGAATCACGGTATTAGCCATGAGAAGCTCTGCATGTGTGTTGGAGATTAGTAGCCCCTTTCTGTCCCCTCACCTTGTCTGTGTGCACAGCTAGGGTGGCTGCTGGCTTCCCCACGGACATATCCCACAGAACCACAGTGCTATCAGCAGACGCACTTGCCAGCACATTTCTGAAAAGACAGAAGAAACAAACTAGGTTGTCTTTTAAAAACAAAGTATGATTCACTAAGCAAAGTATGCCATTTACCACAGCATCAAGAAGATAGTCCATGTTCCTGTACTGGAAGCGGTAACATAGCATCTACAGACTGAACTGTGAGTTGAGGTGCCCATTCACCTACTGCCATTCAAAATCCCACAGTCTGCCACATTCTGCAGAATTAAAATTGAGAATTAAATTAGCTCTAAAAATTTAGAGAAATGTAAGGACTCTTAATAACTAACAAAAAAAAAATCCTGAAAACAAAGAGCAAAGTTGGGAAGCCTATTATCTGATTTCAAAACTTGTTGAAAAGTTACAGTAATCCCAACAATGTACTGCTGGCCTACCGATAGATCTAGAGATGAACAGAAAAAATAATCCTTGGCCCCTGACAATTCAGTGTCTGATCGGGGAAGAACAGTCTATTCAACCAATGTGGTGGAGACAACAGGACATCCTCTCAGAAACTTTAGGCTACTACATCGCCTACCACACACAAAAACAACCTCAAAGTGGGTCACAGACTTAGACGGAAGGGCTAATGCTATAAAATTGTCTGAAGGACATAGGTGTAAATCTTTAGCACCTTGAGCTATACATTGTTTTAAAATGATGTAAGAGCAAAAACATAAATGACAAAAATAAATAGGGGCACTGTCAATATGAAAAACTTGAAACTTAGGAGGAAGTATTTTCAAATCCTAGTTCTGACTAGCATTTTAATATCCAGAAGGAGCTCCTACAATTCCATTTTGAAAATAGGAAAGGGAGTTGAACAGACATTTTTTCCAAAAAAGATATGCAATGGCCAATAAGCATAAAATTACTCAATATTATTGATCAATGAAAAATGCACATCAAACTCACACACACCTGCAATCCTAGCTACTTGGGAGGTCAAGGAAGGAGGTTACCTTGGGCCTAAGAGCTGAGGACAGCTTGGGGGAAAAAAAAAAGGAAAATAAGAAAGAAAACAAGTACTATCTATTGAGCTTCGGGATTTTATGTTGTTTTCTACACTTACTTCAGGAGAGAAACTGGCTTTATCACCAGGTTCTTTTTTAAACATATTTTAATTCCCACGTGAGCATACTGTCCAACTTGTGATTTTCATAAAATCAAACATTTCTTAAGGTCAAATTTGTCTTGCAGTGATGTGGTAAGTTGCCAAATAATCGAGATTATTTTAAAATGTTTTGTTCATACTCTTGTTTTATAATTAAAATTTACCTTCAGTGTGTATTGGGTTGTTTTGGGGGGGGG